AATAAAGAGGACACCATCAAGCGGAATAATATATATACTAATGAAAAAGTGATGAACCCCTCTGTGGCAGAATATAGCAGATCGTGATTATAAAAAATGAAAAGATTCTGCTTAGCTGTTTAGTGCAGTAGGTGTCCCTGTGTGACGAATATATAAAGACGAAGAATAAGGCGCATTAAATTTCAAATATGACAACATCAAAATCGAGAGGGGACGAAGGCAGCACTTCACTAAAAAGGATAAGCAATTGAAGAATTATAACGGGAAGGTGAAAATGTGAGTTTCCACGTACATACGAATACTCCATTAAATATCCCACAAATCATAGGAAGAGTGAGAAGAGGGGGTCCCCCTATGATCAAAAACATTTCGATATAAGGTAGAGGTTACCATAATATATATCCTAGTAACATAGGACAGGGATGTCCACACAGACCGTGGTATTTTACCTGTTGGGTTATATGATGATCATTATTTAGGCGACGACAGGCCTGTTCCAGAGCCACCTCATCTCTGAATATTCCTCTTTCGTGTTAAATTTGATGAATCCCCTTTCGCAAAGATATAAGCAGGAACTTTTTTCCCTTTCTATCGTACTAGAAATGGCCTCAATCCGTTCAGTGACGCATACATTAATTGTTCTCTCATTGGAACAATATATATAGACGAAAAATAAAACAACTTCTATTTACGTTGCTAAATAAATTATAAGGGGTTCTGTAATTACAAATTTACGGCAGACTGGTCTCATATATAGGTAGTGGACATCCTGGACTCCGTAAATGATGTGCTACTTATATCCGGCTGCCTTTCTTTTTTTTTTTTCTTGTCAATTTATGATTTTCTCCCTAAGGAGACTTTATCAATGTCTGATTTATACTGTAGTGTCTGGAGTGGGCTGTGTTCTATTCCGTAGAGAAGCTTCCGGATCTGAGTGATCATTCCGTATAAATTCCACGTATCTATGTGTCCGATATTACAATGTCGCCCAATTTAGTACGTCCGACGGAATAAAGAATCCAATATGCAATGTCTATCATTAAGTAAAACAAATGAACAGTAATCTTTTTCCACCTGTTCCGTATGTGCCTAGGTTGCTGTGTATAAGCAGTATTGAAGAGGACAAATAAGTGGACTACTTTCAGGGAGCTCCTAGGAGGATTATTACAAATAGCAAATTCTCCATTTTCCACTTGGGGAGTTGTTCTCCGTCGTCTGTTATGGAAAATTTGTTTCCCCCCCCAGTGAACAAGAATGTGGCATAGAATCGTAGATGCAAAATTTCGCGGCCTTCAGGTATCTTCCTCACATGATGAGTCGCAATTTATCAGCTCCCTTTGACATGTGTTTCGCATTGCAATTGTGCCCAACTGTGGCGTCCATTATTTTCTTAATTTATTAACTACTTCACTTACGTAATGTCTGTGTCTTCGGAAATACGTGTCTCCTTCGTCCTATGGGTAGAACCTCCTCACATGTCTCTGCACTCTGTATTTATAAAAGTTCTCTGAGGTCATCCCATTTTAGGCCATCCGTATGAACACCATTCCAATGTAACAAGTAAGTATGCGTGTTATATCTCTGACCTGGTGCTGCTCTGCTACTGCTCCATCATTATCATCGAGGTGAGGCCGTTGGTCTTATTGTCTGTCTTTGTCTTCTTATATGAGGCCTGTATATCTTCGCGTCTCTTACTCAGCGTTTTTTTCTTCCTTGACATCCGCAAAAAGATTCTGTGTGTATCTGCTATGTTTGGGGACGTCTCCATATTGTCTTCTTTCAGAAGGTTTCTTATGTTCCCGGTCATGTACAATCTCACCTGTTGTGAATCCTGTTGCCCTTCGCATCCATCCAGAAGCATCATGAATAGCGGTATCGACACTCTTCTATGTACTTTCTCATCTGTAAGTACACGCAATTCGTGATTATGCACCTCCTGTTTCTCTTTATCGCATCCTATTCATGCATTGTTATTGGTCGTCTCATATATCACATGCTCGGCTGTGTCCTTATCGTAGAGCCTCATAAGTTTGTGGAAGGAACTATCTGGAATGTACTGTTTCATTTTTATGTGTTGTTTCGAAACAGAGTTGCCAAATACACTTCCTCGCCTTTGTATGAAGGGAGTCTGTCGTTTCTCGTTAAGCTGATCGCTTTCAGACATTACATTTTCCTGAAGACATTATGGTTACCTTGTCTGTGCCTGCGCTAAATTGTGAAAGTAACTGTTCTCCTTCAGCATATGAGAAATATACGAGTATTTATGTTCCAAAATATGCCACTGATGTTTTTGTATTTACAGATCACCACAGCTTTGTGCATCCATTCTGGTTATCTTGCTTCGTCAAGTAATTCCACTTGTTACGCTTGTATTTATCATAAATGTGTGCACGACTACTTGGAAGAAATTTCCCTTGGCCACTGTGCATTCTTTTTTCTTTTTTCATCTAAGAGTTCCGTATGTATATCTAGAATCTTCTGGGAAACATTTCCTTCTTACTTTGCATGTATACATTTTTTGGGATGTGTTAATTACATATTAACTATACATATTAAGGGCCGCACCATGGCATGTCATCACTTTATATATTCCTCTTT